TCAAATTGTTCATTTTTATGGGTAGCTGACTACTTTCTCCAGTTGCGCACAGTCTATTTTCATTGACATCCTCTCAAATTTGTCTTTTTCATTCTTCTTTCTCTACCTGGTCTTAGGTTTCTTTGTGACCCAGTGCTTTTTGATTATTTAATTTGAGCCTCAAACACAGCAGCTACAGTGCTGAAAAATTCTTTACAAGACATGCTTCCTTCCCCTTCTAGGCTTGTGAAACCTACACAGTAACTCACAATCCCCGCGATGCACAAAGACTCAAACCCGCTGGCTCTTAATTTGCTGGCATAGTGACCCTTAGTAAAGCACTGTTCCAGGGCAGGCAGGCATATGTCAGCTTACACCAGGAAGGGCAGCATTTTGTCATGCTACCCTCATGTTCCTTCCCCAGTACTGTACCAGGATATACTCCTGGAAGACTCCCAACACAGGAGGAAACATTTGCCTCTTGTTTAATTAGTGTAAAGGAAAACTTCACAATGAGCAGGTGCAGAGTTTACTGGAGGAGGGTTGTTTGAAATTCTTCTGGAAACACATTTTGGTTACCATGATTCACAGTCAAAGAACTATTTTATGGGTGGTGCATTGTACTAGTGAATATTGCTTAAGTCTTTTCCCAGTAACAGATCAGACTTTTTTTCAGCAGCCAACCATTTAGAACACAATAGCTGAAAGATTAGTTAAAGCATGGGAGGGTAATAACAGCATTACAGATATCTTTATTTCTTCTGCACAAAGCACCCATACTACACAGTTATGCTATGAAGAAATCCAGTTCTTCGTTAATGACAGCTTTACTGAAGGCAAGCTTTCAGAATGAATATACTAGAAATCCTATTAAAGTGCCATCCATTAAACCATTAAAGCACTCATTAAAACTGTTAGTACAGGCTTGTTATTCATGAGTTATTGGTCTTTCACACTTCTGAAACGTGTCTGCCAATACCACTCTACTCTTTGTTCCAGTGTGGCTATTAACTGAGGAAATATAGATTAACTTTCTTTTGCCAAAACAGTGCTTTGTGTGGGGATAGTAAGGCCACAAAGTGGTTCAGATTGGTGAGAAAAACAGGAAAGATTAAAGTTCAGTCCATTTGCCTGGTTTTCACATAATTTATGTTAACTATGTCTGCATGCGGGCCTAAATATTAATCACTGGATTACACCATCTGGCCATACATCATACAAAGAAGTGAATGGGGAATATAGTATGCTGCTGTGCTGAACATATCCTCATCTACTTCTGCAAATAGCTGACAGAGAAAGCTGCTGTTTGATTTTTTTCTTGATATCGAAAAGCAGCTTTAGATCAATTAGATTAAACAATAAGGAGTGAAAAGGGGAAGAATAATACTGAACAGTTGAAGCTAAGCTTTAAATGTAAAATAAACATTTTAATGACATTAAAATGACAATAACATTTAAAATGACATTATATTCTTAATAATCTATAAAATCACATTAACAATAGGTATAATATAGAACTGAAGCTCTTTCTCATAATGGGTAAGAATCTACTTAGACAATAATTTTCTAAATGCAACTGTATATGCAAAAAAGCACCTGAAAATTTATGTTTGCAAGTAGTTGTAATTATGAATAGATAATTTATGTGGTTTTTTAATTTGTGTACATCCTTTTTATTTTTGATAGGGTAAAGCCCGAGTCCTGCAGTCCAGGCTCAAAACTAGCAGCATGTTAGTCAGCCAGTTTACTCCGTTATTTTCTAGTTTTCTTGTCAAGTGTGAAGAGAAAGTATGTGACATCTTATATTGTAAAGTAATTTCCAGAATATCTGGGCATTGTAGGTAAAAACCTACAGATCAGGCAGAGTGTCTCCTTCAGTTATATATCTAGAACAATGCAGAGCAGTGTTGCCTCATTCTGGGTTAGTGGGCTGCTCTTTAGCTAGCATGTTTGCGTATATGCATCTCAAAAATTCTGATTAGGTAGTCATAGATAGTATAGATGTGCTTCATTCCTGGTCAAATAATTGATTTTATTTAAAAATTTATTTAGAGTATAATGCACTAATAAACAGAGCATCTTCTGTTTATTTTGAAATTACTATGTTTATGTTCTTAATTATTACTAGAATTCTGAGCCAAACCCATTCTAATTACTTTCTAAAATACTGAAAACGTGACCTGCAAACATCCTGCACAAGTTATCTTATTCACCTCCATTCACTCAAAAAGGAAAGGAGAGGAGATTCTTGCTGAGAGAAGTCATTATGTAAGTTTGACTGCTTTTCAAGTCATATTATTTAGATGAATTGCTGGTCAGCTGATAAAGAGGTGTAATACGTCTTAAATATACTATGTATGTATACGACTCTCCTCTTCCCAGTGCTGACGGAAATGTGGTCCAAATTATTTCTCTTCACCTTACATGAAATAAATAGCACTTAGCAGTAAAGATAAAAATATTTGTGTTTTTAAATGAAGCAGTGCTTACCTACTTCAAAATTCTATCAGCCATCCATCTCAGAGGATGGGAAAACATTACTGTGATGAAACTAAATTGTAAGAAAATTAAATAAAAAATTTTAAAGAGTAAAATTTTATCACTTGCTTTATTGATAAATAGGAATTTCACTGTGTAGTCAGAAAAAGTAATGTTTTGGTCGGAGAAGGACCAAGCGCTAATATTGGAAGGATCAGGTTGCTATGTTTATACTTAAGCACAGCACAGAAGTGATGTCTGCTTTTGCAAGTGGCAGAATACCAATTGAGTGACAGTTTGTTGTTACTATATATGAAAACAAAATACAATAAGGCTGAAAAAAAGCCATCAACAGTTTTGTAAAACTCTTAATAACTAGTCTTAATAACTAATCTATTAAGATACTAGCTTAATAATAGTAAGATATTAATACTATCAACATTAGGATACATTAAGCATAGCCCCACAAATTGCTAAGATTGTGAACCCAAATACTGCTTTTTTAAAAAAAAATCTTTTTTGGGGTCAAAAATGTGTGGAAACTAAAAGAAATCAGATACATTCAGAGCTGTAAACCATTTAAGAACACCATTTGAACTGTTAGTAACACACATAGTGATACAACTCAAGTGAATCATATCCAAACCACAAATAAAATTTTCATGGCCTTCGTCATGCTCCCAAGCAGTTCATTTCTTCCTCATTCCTCTAAAAAGTCACGTTTCATTTCCTCTTGAGGGAGGAGCTACCACACACTCTGCCTCAGCTACTAGAGGTAAAACAGTATGCAAAGGGGGAGCCAGAACCTGAACCATCATACTCCTCTGCTCAGCGGATCTCAGCTAGGTTATGCAGGGGAGCTCAGCTAGGCCCAGCTCCCGAGGACTGTAATGAAAGTTAGCAAAATTGAGGAAGATTAGCTGGTAACTGTTATAAGAGTTAATTGAGTCTAGGGTATTAGTAGATAGAACAAGGTACTGGGACTTGGTTTCCTAAACAGAAAAGGTGGAGTATTCTAAGACCTCTCTATCAGGCAGCCAGGCAAAATGAATTTTTTTAGAATAATCTCAAGAAAGAAGCAAAGTCATTCTCTGAATGTTACATAAATAAATTGTATAAGTTATGTAAAAATGCATATGAATGAAGCAATTTTCTGACTGGCCAAGTAGTAATTATTAACCTATGGGATAAATCCTAAGAGATCACACTAATTAATTTTGCACATGTTCATTGTCTGATGATACCTACTCTAATGGATTACGGGTCATATTTTATTTCCATTAACACAAAATGGACTTGTAGCTGTTGTAACCCTGGGAGGAGTCAGTATAAGTGATGTGAAAGTGATGGCTTGATGCTGTAGTGGCAGTATGGAGCTTCCAACTTGTGCTTTGTTGCTGATCTACTCATGGAAAGAGAACATAGTGTTGGTGAACTGCCCCATCTAGGCTTATCTGTGTCATTAGTTTTTTATAATTTACAGCAACCTGGCATAGGGAGCTGCTGATTGTTATCAGGATTAAGCAAAGGCCATGAGCCGCAAACCATAGTTGCATATACGTGTTGATGAAACAATTTTAAGATCTCTAATGCTACAGAAAGGGAAAGTAAAACAATATGTGATTAATTGTGACTTCTCAGTATGAGATGACCTTTCATACAGCCACTACTATAAGCACCATAAGGAGGTACCATCTGTTATGTATTTTGTATTTACCCAGATGTATGTATACCTCAACCATAGAGGTAAAAGTAAGTAGCAGAGCCTGGAGTCTTCCCACTGGTGAAGGAGTGTGGAACAAGCTTCAGTAACTCCATCCTGGAACACAAAGGAAGCAGGAAATAAACAGTGATTCTAGGGACATATAGTTATGTGTATAAATAAGAGATCATTAAAATTTCATATATGCCTGAATTGCTCTCTTATTTATGACTCAAGGAGATAAAAATCAAGTTGCTTTATGTTGTCCCTGGATGATATGCAGTTCGTTCCCTGAGCAACACTGGTATCATGTGTTGGCCTGGCATCAAAATGAAAGAATAGAAACAACATTATTTTTCTTCTGGAAAACTTCTTCAGGAACATTTGGAGTTTATTTAGTAAACAGGACACTGAATTGTTTGAACATGTGCAGTTAGTAATAGAGAAAGATAAAAATATTTATTCCCCTTCATCCCCGTGTTTTTAAGATTTCTGACATTTTTTTCATTCTCTGTTATGCTAGAACCCCTCACTTGCCAAACTGAGTGAAACAATAAAAAGATGGATAGCATACCCTTGCCTTTCTGAAGAGAAAGCCTTGGATTTGAAAAGCTTGTGGTTTAAATTCCTGATGGAAATTTCAGATGCATAAATACAAAACGCTTTATATAATATGATATAATATGTTACAATGTGTCTTGAAGTAATAATTTTCTTTCAAAAGCAAAATATTTCCAGAGTAAAATATGGGAGCATATGGTTTGTAATCATTATAAATACAACAAGTACGTAGTCCTTCACTAACAGTTTCCTTTTCTTTTCTTCTCTTTCTCTTTTGAAGTCTATTGATCCTGGACAGCAGTTCACATGGGAACACTCTAACCTGGAAGTAAACAAACCAAAGAATAGATATGCGAATGTAATTGCGTATGACCATTCTCGTGTTCTACTCTCAGCAATAGAAGGTAAGGAGACCTTTAAACTTAAACTAATTAAATCTTAAAATCCAGTATAATTTTACTTCCTGATATCTTTGCATAGTAATATAAAGAAGTGTTAATTAAAGTACTTCCAGTAAATTCCTATAATGACAATACTTTTCTGATGTTCATTCTCAGTAATTCATTATGAAAATGCACTAAAATTGACACAGGGGTCACCTGTGGCACTGAATGCATCAGGTCCCTGTGTGTATGCCAACGTGTTATCTAGAGTAAATTATCATTGCTGTTTACTTAAACTAATTCTACAAAGCAAATATAGCAGTAGCCATGCATGAATTGAGGTTTTTGTTGATCAATGACATTATCAACATATCTGATTATTGAGTTTCAGTTGCCAAATCCTTAGTGTGGGATAAAAAATCAGTTCAACTTTATGTTCTCAGGGAGAATTTTCAGAACTCTCTGTTAAAGCTTCCCTTTTTTTCTTTTCCATTTACAATCTGAATGCTAAACAGGAGTGTTTAAACAAATGCCCACATGCAGACATTGTTGGAACCTCAGTATTTCACTGCCAGAAGATTGGCAGAGGGGTATAATGAGAGCAATTCATTATATCTTTCTTTGTCAAAAAGCTTTCCAATAACTTGAACATTTTAGAGGTTTAACTTACACAGACTGTCCAAGGTGATTAGCCCTGGGTATTGTGTCTCTTTTACCAAGTGCTAAAGCAACAGGAAGCACTGGGTTTCACTCAGAGGATTTCTTTTCTTACCAGTTCTGCCTTACCATTAACCTGCTTCCTGGAACAAAGACAGATTTTAGGTTTATTCTATATTGTTGACAGTCAGGTATTAATGATGGCCAGAATATAATTGGGTATATATTTAAGTGAAACAATTTAAATGAAAATAAAATTTGCCTTTAGTAACTCTGACAGGGCTTGCACATGATACATAAGATGTAGGGAACTGTATTCAAGGTCATAATTATTTCAGTCCTAACTTGCTACTAGTCAAACTGCAAGGTGTTTTAATTTACAGTTATAAACAGCTTCTTATCCTTGGCTACTCCAGACCTGAAGACACTGGATACAGGAGGGACAATATTTATAGGTGTAATCCATTTTAATATTAGCTGCTTGGTGAAGAAAAAGGCAATCCCACTGTTTGAAGTTTAGATCTTCCCTTATTTATTGCAGCTGCATACTGTGGGCTTTGATAGTACAGATAAGAGCTTCTCAAATGTATTAGAAAATTTAAATGATTGCCCTGAAGAATTTGCATATGATAATCTGCTTATGTTTGTTCCACCTCTGAAGCTCATATAGCAGTTCTGACAAGATTTTTTGTAACGTCACTTACAATTTTTCACATTGCCTTGTAGAAGAATATAGCTGTATAAAAACTTGCCGCTACCTGGTAGAACTACCTGTCTCAACACTGAAGAGACAGTATCTTAATTAGCATTATATATGGTGTAATTCAAGAAAAATATCCCTTTCTGTGTCACTGGTCCAGACAAGAGAACTAAGTACATAGTCAGGAAAGGCCAGGAACAGCAATTGGACAGCCATTCTGAATTGTTCTGTAAAGTTCTTTGGAACAAAATGTTTAACTCAGAAATAGGTCTATTTGACAGAAGACTCAAGATTTTCACAGCATTTTTTTTGGAAAAGGAGTTGTGTAATGGGGGGAAGAAGGAGAGGAAAAAATCTAACCGCAAATAAATTTACTTGTTAATTTGTAAGTCAGACACCTGGGCTTAAAAAGTTCTGCCAGGTTCCCCTTCATGTAAATGACCCATGAAATTTGGTTCCCTTAAAGAAAATTAACATATTCCAAGAATGGGAAGAAAATCTAAGAGGCAAAACAGAAAATTTAGTCAAAGTAATTAAAAGTATCACATTTCACAGTACATTAGATTACTTTTTAAAATAGTAGATAGTAAAAATACGAAAAAAATCTACATTGTAGCTGTAGGAAAGGACTGAGTATTTTAAGGAGCAGGGACAACGTACAGTTAAACTGCAATATTTGATTCCCTTTTTTAAGTAAGAATTACCACGATGAGGCTAAAATTTCAGACCCTATAATAGTCAGTGATCCTAAACACTGAAACCTCAGAAAAGTATTATAGCCCTTTTAAATACCAATGTTAGATGTAAAACCACAAATGGGGTTTTGACCCATTTGGTGATTTGCATAATTTTAAGTATTTTCTCAGTCTTCAGTTTATGGTGAAAAAAGCAACATAAATCAAATATTAAATGCCTTCTTATGCTGTGATAATTTGTCTTGAAAACATGAATGAATTAGTATTTTATTATCCTTTTATATTTTTTTCAACCTGGAATTTTACATGATTGTGTTTCTGAAATTTTGTGTGTGTACCTTCATAAGTTTAATACATTGGTACTTAGCATTTGGTAATGAGTGCTTCTCTTTCAAGTTTTAAGTAAACATTCCTACAATGAAAATATGCAGTCTGCCTAGCATTTTAATTATTTGACAGCTGCATTTGTTTTCATGCTACCAGGGAAATCAATACTTTGAATATTGTTTTTTAAAAAAAATACACCTTTACCTGTGTTACTATACAAGTTGATCAGGACCTAAATTTGGACTACGTTACATTTTGTTAAAACTATATGGAGAATATTTGGTTGGATTTTACATATAGGCCTTATCTGCAATTCTTTGGCGGCCGTAAGAAGGCTAATATTATCAGTGAGGCTTGAATAATAACTGCGCTTTCTAAAATGAAGAGCTCCATTCTACACTAGACACTTGGTCCCTGTTTAAGAGCAAATATAAATGAATAAGAAACTAAGCCTCTACCAAACTGTAATCCTACACTGATGGTCACTTTGCCTCTTGATGGTGTTGCACAAACGTGGAATGCTACTCTAGAATGGGGCCCGAGGCCAGTTTTGTTCAGTTGCCCCATCTCTGACTGTAGGCAATACGAAGCGATTCCTAGAAAGTCTTAAGAAGCATGTACTAGAGATTTGAAATTACTTCTTTCTACCCATTGATAATATCATAGAATCATAGAATAGTTTGGGCTGGAAGGGACCTCTAAAGGTCATCCAGTCCAACCCCCCTGCTGTGGGCAGGGACATCTTCAACTAGATCAGGTTGCTCAGAGCCCCGTCCAGCCTGACCTTGAATGTTTCCAGGGATGGGGCATCCACCACCACTCTGGGCAACCTGGTCCAGTGTTTCACCACCCTCAGAGTAAAAAATATCTTCTTTATATCTAGTCTAAATGTACCCCCCTTTAGTTTAAAGCCGTTCCCCCTTGTCCTGTTGCAACAGGCCCTGCTAAAAAGTCTGCCACCATCTTTTTTATAAGCCCCCTTCAAGTACTGATCGGCTGCAATAAGGTTTCCCGGAAGCCTTCTCTTCTCGAGGCTGAACAACCCCAACTCTCTCAGCCTTTTTCTTCATAGGAGAGGTGTTCCATCCCCCTGATCATTTTCGTGGCCCTCTTCTGGACCTGCTCCAACAGGTCCATGTCTGTCTTATGCTGAGGGCTCCAGAGCTGGACACAGTACTCCAGGTGGGGTCTCACCAGAGCAGAGTAGAGGGGCAGAATCACTTCCCTCTACCTGCTGGCCACGTTTCTTTTGATGCAGCCCAGGATAAGGTTGGCTTTCTGGGCTGCGAGCACACACTGCTGGCTCATGTCCAACTTTTCACCCACCAGTACCCCCAAGTCCTTCCCTGCAGGGCTGCTCTCAATCCCTTCATCCCCCAGCCTGTATATCAAGTTGTTAAAAATCACATTAGCCCTGAAACACAAGGCTTAGTTTTTATTCTGGTACCTTTTATAACTCTTGTTACACATGTTCAAACCTGGATTTCAATCCCTGCTATGTTCTTGGCCTCTGTAACTGCATATAGCATGGATTTCCACAACATAATTGCTCACTTTGCAAGAAATATTTTTTTGTATTATTAAAACACTGTTTAAATTTTATTACATTGAATGTCCCTGTGGAAGGAAAACTCAGATTAGTTGTGGTAATTTGAATTTCCACCTGAAAGAAAATAATACTTTGCAAAATTTTGTTCCCATGTTCTTGAAATCTCATCACTCATCTTGTGCTGTCTTTGGATATGTCTGAGAGGGACGCATGGATTTTTACAGTACAATGAAAGAATGTTATAATGTAGTGAAGTTTATTGTATGCATCTAAATGGATTTGAGGGAAGAATTTTCTGATTAAAAGGGAAATAGATCAAGTTGAAACAGCTAGGTCTGTGGTCTTAAACTTCTAAGGAGTAAATAAAATCCTGGGAAAAAAATGATTAAAAATTCTGCATTTTAAAAACTCTTCCCAGTTCTTTTAGGAGACATCCAAGACTAAAAGTCTGCCATATGTGACATGGATTTGCATAATGCTAGTGATTAAAAAAATTTTCAAAAATAATATCTGTCATAATTCAGCGGTGTAATTTTTGTTTGATGGGAAATGTAGCGGCTTTATAATGCTGCTAAAAAGCTAGAAGTCTCTGACTGTAATATAAATGGACAAGAAAGAAAAAGGCAAGAAACTGCTAATATTCTTATTTGTTCTTATTATTACTTTTAAAATAAAACAAATCCAAGCTTCCTTTCTTTTTCTTAACAGAGTTCCTGCTGTTTCCCAGCCTGCTTTTCTGCTACTCACCTTCCAAGTTTCTCATCTTGCCTGCAGATCTTCTACAGCTCCTAGTTCTTAGCTTCCATCCCTTCATTTCACCTTTTTCAGTTTTTTCTCGCCTTTTCCTTTCAAATACGTCTTCTGTCCTCTACACAATCCCTTTCTTTGTCCTGCTTAATTCTGCATCTTCTGCCCACCCCTTTTTGACATTGCCTTCTTTCCATAATTCTCTGTAATTCAACATTTCACTTTGAGACTCCGTATCTTTCATCCTTTCCATCTTCACGAGACTCTCCTAGTCCTAATAGTTAATCCACAATCCAGCAACCTATAGGTTTTCTTCTTCTGTCATTTATTTTTCCTTCTTACCTTA